ATGTGTAAAGATCATATGCTATGATCATGAGCTAAGATTAATAATATCAACAGGAATGAATGTAGGAAAAGAGGAATTAAAAGGGGAGATGGGAGAGAGAAAGGAAAGGGATTCTAAAGAAGAAAAGAAACAAGTTGTGTTATGTTCATTTTAAACTTCAGGTACTACAAACATGATCATACAAACAATACATATATACATATATATATGCATATAATATATGCTTATGAAACATAAGCAAGAAAATTATAAAGGACCTCAAAAACCAAAAGCATTTCCCTAAGTACAAGGCAACTTTCCCAATTCTTTCCGTGGTAAATGGCAATGTCATGTGGTGGTCAGATCCCTGCAGCAAGGAAAATGTACATGGCAACCAGCAGAGCAACGAGACCAAAGGAACAGATGGAAAACAAACAATATCCTGCCATCGTCTGAACATTTTCTACTTTCTTGGGCAACACACCCCTGGTACCAGAACAGTGACCTCAACATCCTGACTCAACAGCTCTAATTTCATTAATTTACAATTGTCCTCGGATCATCAATCAAACCACATAGGACAGAGGGTTTGATTTGTAATATGTGATTCTCCAGGCCAGAGGTCATCAGTATCTCGGAAAAGTGGGCTACAAGCCGTGGATGGGTTACGCTGAAAGGACAGGTATCTAGGGCCTCAGCACATGACCTTGCTGAAGCTGGGTGGGGGAGGACAGCCCTTCCTGAGCCAGCCCAGCTAGACACTGGGGCAGAAGCTAGGGCAGAGGCAGCAGCGCCACGCTGCCAGGACTGTGGAATGCTTGGCTATAAGGGGTGAGGCAGATGGATGTGTCCAATATAACAAAGAACTGGGATGTGCTGACTGACTCCTGGGTGCTTTTACATATATCATCTTCCTAAGAAACCCTCACAGGGATTTGGCAGTAATGTTAGTGTCCTGATTCTGCAGACGAGGAAACGGGCCTGAAGGGCGTAAACAGAGCTTTTGGCCAACGACACATGCTAATCATGAACAGTTAATTTTCAAAGCAGGATGTTGGAATCCAGAACTCAGTTCTGTCTAAAGTATCAGACTGTTTCCCAAATGAGGAGAAAGCTTCCAAGAATTTTTTAAGGGGAAACTTTAAAAGTACATGTTTTCAAAGGGTAATCAGCATTCACTGAGCCCAGGAAATACCCTTTCAGATCACGGCCCAGTTTACCCCAGGGGTTAGGACACACAGAAACAACCACTTCTTTTAGTCTTGAGAATTTAAAACTTTAAGATCTAATCCTCCCCCAACACAACCTTGTTTAGTCTCTCCTACATTCCTACCCCCATTCTCTGTATCTCCCTTCCTTCACCTAACTGTCTTGTTCCAAAACTGATCTAAAGTAATTTGCAAAATAGATATTCCCAGCTCAAAAATAAATCACAAAAATTAAAGCAGATAGGCAAAGAAGTTGAAGTCAGAATTACAAGAAGAAAACCATAAAGAGCCAGCCAGATAGCTCAGCAGATTAAAGCACCTACTTAGGCACATGCAGGGGCCAGGGGTTCAATCCCTGGTTTGTCATGCTGGCCCTGCCCCCAAGGCATGCTGAGACAGCATTGAAACTGGGTGTGGTCACAAGTGCCTGTAATCCCAGTGCTTGGGAGACCAAAAATCAGGAAGGATCACTACAAGTCTGATCTGTGTAGTGAGACCCTATACACCCTGTACTAAATACTTAAAAAAGAAGAAAACCATAGAAGACTATACCACAAAGTATTATGAATAGCTAGACATGAAGTATAATGTATATTAGAGTATTGAATCCCAAGAAAAAAATTCCTCTATGAGATTTCGTTCATATACATTCCAGCACCAAAGGATGTGACCAATAAAAACACAGCCCCCGCTGACAACTTGAGCATCTTAGGATAATACTCATGCAGTTTGCCGACAGACGAGCACTCAAAACGCTGCTTTGGTAGAATTCAGAATAACCTCAGGATCCGTCTTTCTCCCTTCCAACCTATGAGTCCACTCTATTTCCACTACTGCCAAAAATCCCTCTTGCTGTTTTAATTGCCAGGTTGTAACTGGTCATTCCAAAGTTCCAAGTGATGAGGATAATATTGTAATTGGTTCCAATAGCTGTTTCCATTAGTCATGCCCGTGTTCGAATTGGTCATGCTAACAGTCCAAGTCGGCATTCCGGTTAGACACACTGCAGTTTTAATTAGAAACCTGAGCTTGATTAATTCATTATAGTTCACTAATAATAAAGCTTTTCCTTACTCTCTCCCTGCTTACCTCTATCAACATGAGCTTCTATCATTCATGATCTTCTCCCCTCAACTTTGTCATTAACAATTACTGTCCTAGTCCTTAAGAGTCCGCCTCCAGAGGTCCTTTCAATTCAACTATTCTTTCTGATCCCCAGGCTCTGCAGGGCTCCTAGATACTACTCTGTACTAGAATTTCTAAAATGCATAATTTAACAGGAATTAAATATCTTACATCTTTATTGATCCTTCTACTTCCAAGATAAACAGACTCCTGGATTCTGCACCGTGTAACTCCCTCTTACCAGTCACCAGCACTGGGGAACACTTTGTTCTCAACAAACACAGCTAGCAGAATCCCTCTCTCCCTTCTTCAGGACAGCTTTCTGACCACAATTTGTCCCCCCTGATCATCCCTTTCTACCTTCTACTCTAAGGCAGCGAGTGCCATTCAGTTATGTCACAATCTAGAGCAAGATAGTCCCCCACTCCCTACGAGGCATCTGTCTTCTCACCAATAGCTTTTCTACATACTTGAGGTGCTTTCCGTCTCCTCAGCAGCTTCAACATCTTTGCTGATGGCTCCACAGCTCACTATCCACCTCGTTAACCCTTCAGCTTCACGTTGGTTTCAGCTCTCACAGCCTTTGCTTCCACTTCCTTCCAGCCGCTCAGCTGCACAGCCACAGCTCGGCTCTTTATCTTTACCCAGGAATATGTTTGTTCTGTTCTCTAAGATCTCCAGCTCTGAAATTCCTTCCTCTGGCCACAACCTTCTGACCTTGCCACTGCCCCACTTACTCACTCAACCTCGAATTTCTTCTTCCCCAGCCACTGGTTACTTAATAACTCTCTGTTTTCCTGGTTTATCACCTTTCTTAAGCAATATCTGTCTCCCTATCTTCCCCATAACTTGAGGCTAGTCATTTCCATAGTCTGCCTATCTGTACCAAAAATTCTTCACCCAGCTCACCTAGCCCCCAGATCTGATAAGCACTGGTCTCAAGAAGCCAGATGGGACAAATCTCATCGTCTTTTGTTGAAGTTTCCTCTCCCTGTGGCCTGAGAACTGCTAGTAAGACATCTAATAATGCCAAATGACTTTGATACAAATCCACACTATCTGATTACAGCGGCTCTTCCAACAAGGCCCTGCAAATCTTGAGCCCTGCAAATCTTGGATTCATGACTGGCTGATTCCCTTCAGGGATTATTCCACATCTCTTCTAAACCCCACAATGGCCTTGTTTTCTCCTCAAATAACCTCTCCTCCTATTTACTGAAAAGACA